AAGATGGACCTAACCTAAGACTCCATCAATAACTTGACTTTCACATGTCTCCACTCTGGCAAGTGGACCACAATGACATTTTGAGTTTCCTGGTATTAGTGTCAATTCAGAGCCAGTGTCCAGTAATCCCTAAAAAGTCTGATTATTTCCTTTTCCCCAGTGAACATCCACTCTCATAAAAAGGCCATATATCCCTTTGGGGAAGGCTGGGAGAAAGATTAACAATACAAATTTTTGGCAATGTTGTGGGGTCCTTTCTCAAAGGGACCCAGCCTCCCCTTCGTTAAAGAGGTTGTGGGTCTGTAAGCTGGCTCAACTCTGGGAATTAACTGAGAGGCCATGACTCTGTATCTTGGTGATTCAAGTTAGACTGCTGTTCACTTGACCAAGAATTCTTCCACTTGTACTCACTGTTGTCAAGTCAGATCTGCCTCGTAGCATCCCCTCCTTGAGTTTCCAAGGCAGTATCACTACAGAAGTAGATTGCCCAATCTTTCATCTGAGGAGTGGCTGGTGGGTTTGAACCGCTAGCTTTCTGGTTAACAGTCAAATGTCTTAGGCTTTACACCACCAGAACTCCTGCCACTTGTACAGATCAAGTAAATATTTAGTAGATTTTCCATCTATTTCACTCTTAGGAACCCTATGCTTAAGTAGTCAATACCATAAGTTCATATGAATCAGACTATTCTGATTACTGCTTTGACTTTGCTGTCCATTATGCCTTTGTTGATTAAGTGCTGCCTCTAAGCCCGTGCTACCATGGGGCCCAATCAATCCCATTATAGTTAGGTGTCTTAATTCAAGTAAGGCCATTCCCACCATCAAATATGACTTACATAAAATAACAAACATAGCAGTCTTCAAGGATGCTGGGGCTCCCATCACAAATCTGTTCCTCATCATTGTGTTAAAAAGTGTGTCCTCTGGACACTCCATGGGTGGGTCTATGGGTCTAATCTGGCAAATCCATTCTAATATCCCAATTTCCCTAAGTCTTTGGATACCTTCTTCTACAGTATACAAGGCAGGTCTGGTACTTCACTTGACTTCATATAGGCCTCTCCATAATCTATGCTTCAGTAAAACAACCAAATAAACTATTAGATCATGAGCTGAAATACTGAATGAAGAATCTGTGCTTAGTGGGCTCAAATCAATAAACTCAGACTGATGCAACTTTATGTTCCTTGCATCGTTATCCCACACCCTTAATACCTATTACCACACATATTCTCCAGGTTTCTGTTTGTGCATATTAGAAAAATCAAGCAGTTCTTTTGGAGTGTAGTTTATCTCTTCCTGGGACACAATTTGTGCTTCCCCGTTTGGGGGTCATTGGGACTTAAGTCTACTTACATGTCTATAAGCAAAAATGGATGGTGTGGATGGTTCCTGGGAACATTCAGCAATGTCTTGTAAAGTACTTGCCTCAGTCAATGCTCCTAGACAATGCCCCAACCACTGCCCCAGGTGGGGCACAGAATCACTCTTTATACAGCAAAGAGACATGAAAAGAATGTGATAAAGAAAGGAAAAATCATGATGAATGCCTTCTGGGTTAAGTCTTTTAAACAATTCTGTTAATACATTTTTCCACCACTCATCTGTCAGTTTGTCATACTATGATGGCTTGTATGTTGCTGTGATACTAGAAGCTATGCCACTGGTATTTCAAATTCAAGCAAGGTCACACAGAGTGGAAGGTCATGTGTATGCAGGAGCTTTCATGCTAAGATAGAGTAGGAATAAGGAAGAGACAGTCCAGTTCTGAAAACATTAACCACTGAAAACCCATGGAAGCAGCAATCAAGAAATTAAACGACATATTACATTGGGAAAATCTGCTGCAAAAGACCTCTTCAAAATTCTAAGGAACAAACACATCACTTTGAAGTCTAAGGTGTGGCTGGCCCAAGCCATAGAATTTTCAATAGCTTCATATGCATGTGAAAGCTGGAGAGTGAATAACGAATACTGCAGAAGATTGGATGCATTTGAATTGTGGTGTTGGTGAAGAATATTGAATGTACCATGGAGTACTAAAAGAACAAACAAATCTCTCTTGGAGGAAGTACACCTGGAATGCTCCTTAGAAGTGAGAATGGTCAGACTTCTCTTGTACATTGATCATGATATCAAGAGGGACCAGTCTTTGGATAAGGACATAATGCTTGGCAAAGTAGATGGTCAGCAAAAAAGAGGGAAGACCCTCAATGAGATGGATTGAAATAGTGGCTGCAATGAAAGGCTCCAGCATAACAAGGATTGTGTGGATGGTGCAGGACCATGCAGTGTTTCTTTGTACATAGAGTTGCTATGAGTTGAAACCAAATCTAGGACGCCTAACAAAAATATTGATAAAAATTTAAAACAATGGTTGAATTAGTTGTAGTTTTGGGAATTATTTTTAAATAATCATCATCTAATGAAAAAGGAGGTGTTTGGGAGAAATAAACAAATACACGTTCTTCAACATCAGAGTCAAATTGAATTTGTCAGTCAGCTCCTTGTTTCTGCACAGGATGTCTCTAAGGAAGAAAATGTTGGACAGTCAAAGGTGAGAGTCACTCATGTGTGCTTAATAAAAGATAAAATGAGAAAGAAAGAACAATCAGTGAAAGAAACCAAGAAATTATCAGAGAACTCTACTCACATTTGATAAACTTAATAATCCTAATTATTATTGCTCAGAAGGAAGACTGGGCAATCTATTTCCATGGCGATACCACCTCGGAAATCCAAGGAGGGGTCGTTATGAGTCAGGTTGCACTTGAGGGCAGTGCGTTTTGTGTGTTTATGTGTGTGTGTGTGTGTGGGGTAATTATTATTGGTAGGATTCTTTAGAAATAAATAATCTCAGGCAGCTATATTGATAGATGGATCTGTTTCCTTGGCTACAAAAGCACTTTTTGATTACTTCTGAGGCCTTTTACAACTCACTGACTTTCCAAAGTAATTTTGTAATTTTGCTAATTTATTTTTTACTACGGAGTCACTGTGTTGTTGTTGTTGTTGTTTTTATGTGCCCTGGAGTCAGACCTAACTCATAGTGACCTCTCCTTGGGTTTCCAAGGCAGTATCACTACAGAAATAGATTGCCCAATCTTCCATCTGAGGAGTGGCTGGTGGGTTTGAACCGCCAGCCTTCTGGTTAGCAGTCAAGTGCCTTAGGCAACTATGCTACCAGAGCTCCTTAGCAGCAGACAATCCTACAAAAATAGAAAATCATAGGAAAATCAAGGGAAAGGAGAGAAAATTAGATTAAAGTCCCAAGAAAAAGATGAGGAGGAGGCTTTTATCTGAATTCAGTTGGGCAAGGATGCCTCAACTTTCCCCTCAAGAAGTGGATTGTCTGCGATCCTCGGGGATCCTCCGAGCCTTCTAGGCCTAGTCAGGGAGCCAGGGGGCCCTCGCCCACATCTTAGAGGAAAGTAAGGAAAGCTGAGGGTCAGTGCCAGCGATGGGCAGTGTGCTTTCCCCATTGGTATGGTGATTTGTGCGTTCTGGGATTTGGCAGGCTGTTGGTGTGTCGCCTCTTTAGAGGGTTTCCTGGCATCCCTTTACCTGATTCCCCCACCTACCAGCCAGCTGTGCCACTTCCTATGGTGTAATGTTGTGGAATTACTTAATCTCTCTGTGCCTCCTTCACCTCATCTCTAAAGCAGAGTCATTAATAGTGGTATTTTATAATTAATAATGGTATTAATTCATTAAATGATTGCAACAGCAAAAAAAATAAAAGAAAGAAAAAGAAGAGGAGTTGGTTAGAGAGGGCTGATGTGTAGCTTGGCCAAGATTGTGGTGGGAGAAAAGAACATAATGTTTTTAAAATTTTAAATTACTATTTATGGAACTCCGAGTAGTCTTGGAAATTTTATAATGGATGAAAAAATTACCAAATAATTATGCTACTCTTAGAAATTAATCTAAATGTGTCTGTAGGTATGGCCGTATCACTGTTTTTTATGTAACAGGCTATTTTTATTAATGTTGCAAATGGCATAGTACGTATTTGGTTTTATTCATTTGATATACTTCATTAATTCTTATATTATTATAAAATTTTCATCACAATAATTTCAATGACTATAAAATATTTAATGAGCAAATTATAAAATCTTTACTTGGCCATTCGTCCGTAAATATTTCACTCGTTTTAATGTTTAATCCCTGCAAGTACGGTTCTTTTTATCTTCTCTTGCTAAGGACAAAAATTTTAATAAGTTGCAACGTATAAAATAATTGGTGAAATCAATGAACATGTTCTGGAATCTGGAAATACATGGCTAAATATCTCTTTAGTCATTGGGCCAGTTGTCGTGGCTGCCAGCACTTGTACCATCACCTTCATCCAAGCTTGGTGGAACAAAATTGCAGTTGACAAAGTATGAAAGAAACCATACATAACACCATCTCCATGCACCATCTTCCAGTTTCTTCTGAATTCCTGATTTAGAAAAGAGCTCTATTCACTCAGTTCTCTGGAAAGATAATCACTTCACTTATAATGTTCATGTGATATTAGGCTGTGCTGTATTGAAGTAGATGGGTCTTGCAGGAATGGCTCTTCATGGAGATGTCGGTAAACTGTTTTGAATTTTAAGTATGTGATAAAATGTTTAATTAAAAAATTTCCCATAATGCAGTTGAGCTATAATCTTAAAAAAATAAAACCTGCTGAGCTGCACTCAGATCATTTATACAAGGAACTGTATCACTATTTGTCAAAATCCACTGATTCTTCCTGGAGTAATTGGAATTTTCTGAGACACCTGTATAGGAAAAATAAAACAATAATCGAGTGTTAGGAAATAAAACATTGAACTCTTCCATCTCTTACAGTGTGGATTTTTACATACATTCCTAGTGCCCATGGTATAGTTGCACTAACCTGACAGACACTGTGAATTCGGCATTCTCTGACTACAGCTCTGAAGAGCTCTGAAGGTGCTGCCCCAGGAGCCCTGAGGAAGGTTTGGGGCTAGGCAGCAAGTGCTTCAAGAGCACTGTGCCAGCACACAGAAGTAGGTGCCCGCATCTGCAGCTTGGGTGGCTGTGATATGCAAGGAGCTGTCCTTTCTTGTAGTTCCAAACTGAGCTGTCAGTCTTTTTTGCTTCTTCACTTCTCCAGCCTTAACTAACTTTATCAAGAGGACAGGACTTACCCCCGCTTTCTGCTTATACCACTGTAAGCTGTCAAAAGTGCTTGAGGAATTGCAGTAGGTGGTGAAGTTCTCTCCTTCCTGAATGAGCTGGAACTGAGGAATTTGCTTTACCTCTTGTCCACTCACCTCTGTGGAGAAAGATAATGGGAAGCATCAGAGAAAGTCTGATGAGATCCTTCGTTTCTTAGCTATAATGCTCTCACTCTTCTTGTGTCTTTTTCTCTTCCTCCTCACCCCATCTTTTGCCTTTCAACTTTTTTTTTCTTTTCTAAATTCTTGATTGTTAAGCAGACACTCTTATTCTCTGCCTTCAGATAATTTTCTACACTGTTGGATTCTCTGGAAGCAATCAGGAAAGTCTCAAACTTATGTGACAAATGTACCCATAAGATCAACACTGGTACTATGAATAGCATCTTCCTCTCCTTCCCCTTCAGAAAGGGTTGCTGAATTTGACTGCTCCTGAAAGGGTTTTCCTTGTATAAGCTACTTCCCGGCCCATAGAAGCAGCTATGGTCTAGTACTGAGTTTTGTAAAGAAAAAGGAAGGGGTGGTTACAATTTGATACAGCCAATCAGACTGTGTCATCTACCTTTAAAAGGGATCTGTGTTTGTAGATGCTGCCCCCGTGTGACTTCATTCAAAAATTGCCTATTTGGTAACCAATTCTCTTAAAGTTGTTTTGTAATTCAGGTGGTCAAGGCTTGAAAGGAAAGAGTTTACTAATACTAATATACCCTGGGGGAGCTCTGGTAGCGTAGTGCCTAAGGCACTTGACTGCTAACCAGAAGGCTGGTGGTTCAAACCCACCAGCCACTCCTCGGAAGGAAGATGGGGCAATCTACTTCCGTAGTGATACTGCCTCGGAAATCCAAGGAGGGGTCGCTATGAGTCGGTCCGACTGGACGGCACATAACAACAACAACAACAACAATATAGACTAGATAATCTACTTCCATAAAGATTTACTGTCTTGGAAACTCAATGGGGCTTGCTAAGAGTTGGAATTGACTAGATGGCAGTGGGTTTTATTATTTTTTTTTGGGGGGGGGGATGCCGGTAATATTGCTCAGAGAAGAAAATTTATCTTTTAAAAATGAATTCTGTGGCTTAAAACTAGCACATCAGAAGGCAATGGTAAGTTCCATTTTGTCATTTCCAGTATTATTAGGAATCATGTGCTGTGTAGTGTGTATGTATGCATGCAGTAATAGAACATAGTAGGTCACCCACATTTTAATAAATATAGAAATTACTCATAATTTGTTGTTACACAGCCCATTATCTCAAAATGGAAGATAAAAAATGCATATTTGTCAGTTGCCATCCAGATTACTTTTGTTGTCAATTAACTAATTTAGAGCACTTATCTACTTTCCCATGATGTTACTTTTCCAAATGTCAGAAATTAAAAAAAAATAAGTGTTAATATATTTAGAAAAAGAAAGAAAGTCTTCTAGGAAGGTTTCCTTAAAAACAGAAGACTTAGTTTGTACTTGGGTAGAACAGTACTCTGAGTTCCCACAGAATTTTGGTCACAAGTATTTCAGCAATTATTCCTTGTATTATAATTATCTGTTTAATTGTCTGAGTTGGCTTCATGTAACTTGGAAGTATGGGCTGTATTGTCTTTAAGAACTGTGCCTTCCTAAAAAAAAAACAAAAACAAAAACTGTGCTGTCCTATATGGTAGTCATTAGCCACATAACCAAACCCCAAACCAAACTCACTGTCATTGAGTCAATTCTGACTCATAGCAACCCCCGTTTGGGTTTCTGAGGTGGTAGATCTTTATAGCAGTAGATTGTCCAGTCTGCCTTCCATGGAGTGGCTGGTGGGTTTGAACCACCGGCCTTCTGGTTAGCAGTCAAATGCCTTAGACACTATGCCACCAAAGAGAGCTCCTTACTAGCCACATAGAGCTCCTTAGATTTAATTAATTAAAATCAAATAAAATTAAAAGTTCACTTTATCATTTATAGTATTGAGCATTTTAAGTGCTCAATAGCCACAGGGCTATTGGAGAGAGCAGATAAAGAACATTTCCTGCAGCTCAGATAGTCCTACTGGAAAGTGTTGCTCTAGAATGTAAGGCCTATGAAAACGAGAAATTTTGTCTGTTTGTTTGTTGATGTATCATAAGAATTGTCCTTGACATTGGTAGGCAATCAACAGACACTTGCCTTCTGTTCCTCAACATGTCCCCAGAAACTACTCTAAAACCCAAACCCATTGTTGTTGAGTCAATTCCAAGTCATAGCCACCCAATAGGGCAGAATACAATTACCCCACAAGGTTTCTAAGGATGAAATCTTTACAGAAGCAGCACAGCTGGTGGGTTCAAACTTCTGACCTTTCCATTAGCAGGCAAGTGTTTAAGCAGTACACCATCAGGGGTCCTTTACCTGATAAATAATGGTTGCTCAATAAATATTTGTTGAATCATAAATGAATGTGTAGTTTGCACGTGTGAGGGTATGACATCAAAATATTCCAAAGAACAATCTAAATGGTATTGGTTTGTCATTGTGCCCTTCCATGAATGTAAACAATCATTTGTTGTAGCTATTTAGAAATATTACCTTTGGGGGATGGTATTAGTTTACTAGGGCTGCTGTAACAAACTACCACAAACTTGATGACTTAATAGAGCAAACATTTATTCTCTTGTAGTTCTGAAGGCAAGAAGTTGGAAACTAGGTTTCAGAAGGGTCGCATTCCCTCTGAATGTTAGAGGAGAATCCTGCCCTGCTTCTTCTAGCTTCCGGTGGCTGCAGGCATCCCTTGGCTATGGTTGCGGAACTCCAGTCTCTGCCTCTGTCTTCACATGGCCTTCTTGTCTGTGTATACCTCCTCTGTGTGTCTCTTTTAAGCATATTTATCATCATATTTAGTGCCCACTCAGATAATGAGGATGATCTCCTATGAAGATCCTTAACTACATCTGCTAAGACCCTTTTTCTGTGTAAGGACATATGCACAGGTTCTGAGCATTGAGATGTAGACATGTCTTTTGAGGGCACTATTCAATCCACTACAGGAACTCTAATGTCTTTAAAGTGAAGTCACAAAAATGTAAATGTTTGAAATCTTGAGACTTCATTTAGAGTCAAAAAGGAATCTGAACAATGGCATAATGTGGAAACAGACAAAGAAGTAGTTTTAGGATGTGCTAGAAAATTACAAACCCTGTGAGGTAAGGGAGAAAAAGAAAATGCACACCACTGGGATGATTTTTCTTTCTCAGGGATGTTGGAATTGGATCCCAAAATGAAGACAAAACTGTCGCTCCTATGGCAATGAGGACTACTTCCTCTTCTCAAAAGAACAAGGAGCTGAAAGAAGCACCTGCAGATGTTTTAAATGCTGTCATCTTCATACAAGAGCACTGCCTCAGTTTACATGTTGTTGTTGTTGTTATGTGCCATCAAGTCGGACCTGACTCATAGTGACCCCTCCTTGGGTTTCTGAGGTAGTATTACTATGGAAGTAAATTGCCCCATCTTCCTTCTGAGGAGTGACTGGTGGGTTTGAACCTCCAGCCTTCCGGTTAGCAGTCAAGTGCCTTAGGCACTACGCTACCAGAGCTCCCTCAGTTTACATAGGGACATGTAAACTAAGATAGAGAAATCTCCCATAGGATAAGTTTGTCCTTTCCCCACTGACAGTGTAGTCTCTGCTATGAGCTGTCTTTGGGGCTTATAGTTTCAAGTAGAAATTGCGAAAGGAAGAGAAAGGGATCTAGTTAAACATTAGTCTTAAGGGGTACAATAAATCTCTTCATTCCCAATAGGAAATACTTCCACCGAATATAAAATAGTTCTTAGTAGTTAATTTTCTTGTCAAGAAAATCTTAAGCATGGATCAAATATAAGAATTCTTTTTTTTTTTTTTAATTAGGATTTGGGTGAAGATTTACAGAGTAAATTCACTCTTCATACAGCAGTTCATATATACTTTGTCTCATGTCATTGACCAAAATT